TTTTTCAATCAAAACTATTTTTTCTAAGGTTCGAAACTTTACAACATTTGAAAAAGCATTTAGTACTGAATGGAAACCAAATCGACGACAAGCAACTACTCGTTCAGCTATAACAACATATAATTTATTGCGAGGTAATTTTCAATAAGAATATAAATGATAAATCTTTCTTTATTATTTCAGGTCTTTTAACATTTCAAGAACGATATCAACGTGCACCTGCATTAGCAACACAAGATATTGATATATCAAATTTAATGAAAATACTTCATGAAAAATCAAATTCATCAGCTGCTTCTTCTTCTTCATCATCAAATGATGAAGAATTTAATGAAGAGTTAATCAAGTAAAACAAGAAATTTATCTCGGAATTAATTTTATATTGAATTATTTAATTTAGGGATATTTTAATAGATAATAATGCTGTCGCATCAATTGTCGGTGGTATAATGAGTCATGATATAGTCAAAGTAATCTCAAAACAAGAACCAAAAGATAATTTCTTCTTTTTCAACGGATTATCATGTGTTGGTTTATCAATACCAATTGCTTGTTAAACTTCTTCAATACATTCCTAGGATATCTTATTTGTTGTTCAAATTATTTTTTTTTTCTTCTTTATGTTAAAATTTAAATAAAAACAAAATTCACATGTCAGTCAATTAAGCATTCTTTCGAAGACCTAATATAGGTATTAAGATAACTAATATAATTACACCAACAGCAACGGCAATAGAAACAAAAATCTTTAATTTCTAAATGAAAAAAGAAATTTTTTTCTAAAAGATAAGAAATGCAGATTAATATAAACTTACACGTCGAGTCATATTCTGAGATGATCGCTCAGCTACTGGTCCTTCATCTGGCGTTGTTGTTCCTTCGATAAGTGTAGTATCGGCATTGATTGTATCTCGATCATTTCTTAATTCCTAAAATAGAGTTACGTAAGCAAAATTCTATTTATATATCGAAATTAAATTTCCATACATTAGCTGTCAATGTATTATTTGAAAGTTCTATCATATTTATTTCGTTTCTACGATGTTTGCATCAATTTTTGAGCATAGTATCAAATATTTCCATAACTTACATTTCGTATACAAATAGAAAATATGTTATTCCCAACATTTTTCTCTTATCATGTGTCGGAAAAGACTAATTCGATTGGTCGAATAATCTTGAGGTCGTTTCTTTCCTTCTTTTTCTTTCTCGCTAAATTGATAGAACCTTATTCTTTGTAGAAAGATCATTTATCTTATACATAAAATAGATCTATAATATTGATACTTTTTTAAATGATTATCATTATAGGCCATTTACAAAATCTGATTCATGTTGTTGAAAACGATTTGACAAATGCGAATGATTACATATTATTTTAAACGACAAACGATATTATAAAAGAAAAATGTTCTTTTATTTTTTCTTTTGCTGTTCTGTTTCTTCTTCCTCAAGAAAGAATTATTATGACTGTATTTAGCTGTATGTAAAAAGCATCGATGCTTCTTTACGAGCATTATATCATCAAATACGTCACTAGCAAAAGAACCGTATATTATTTTTCTTTTGTATCACAGTGAGAGACGACAATGTGCAAACTCTTTTTGTTATAAGTAGCACCCTGTAGATTTTTTTTCGCCATTCTTTATATGTTTTATACAGAGAAAAAAAACATTTCGTTCTGTTGATTTTTTTTTTTTAGTCTAAAGAGCGGAAGAGGATTTTTTTTTGACGAAACGAAGCGATAACATACAAATAATGAATAGAAGCGTCAGAGGTGTTTTATACGTACATGTAAATTTCGATTCTTTTTAGTATTCAACACATTATTTTTTTTTGCTTTTATCAAAAATGTCATCGTTTTATCGAACATTATCATACAGTAAGTTACATATTTTTGTTGTACTTTTAATGATTTGTAATCGATTAACAAATTCACAAAATACAACAACTACGATACTAATTAATTCAACTGAAATGTCAAGTACTGCAAATTCTGTCATCACATCTGTCGAGACTAATTTAACAGTAACTTCGAGCGTAACTTCTGTATCGAATAATCTAACGAACCCGTCGGATATATCAACAACAACAACAATAATTACACCAGTTAATACCTTTATGACTTCATCAATAACATCGCAAGTTGTTAATACTACTTCTTTGCCAGATGGTAAGTCACATTTAAAATATTTATTGAGATTAAAATTGCCCTTGTTTTCTTTTAGAACCATCAGGACCGGGCTGGTGGTTATTAGTTGCTCTACTTATAACAATAGTTTTCGTGATTATTGCAGGTGTTATTTTCTATCGTCGACAACAATATCCAAATAGACGGTGAGAATTATCATAACCAAATCATGCATATGTAATATCAAATTTATGATTTTTAGAATTACCTCCTGTTCGCAATGGTATAGAAATTGCAATTTCAGGTATATATTATTATATAATTCAAATTTTCAAACTTATCTTTGTCTAAATTAGATTTCTTCAAAATTGTCGATCATATGATGATGATACAGATAATATTATTTTACAACTTGAACAGTCCGAAGTAACCAATGATCAATGGCCACCTCGAATCTCTTTTACTTAATTATATATAGATATATTTATATTATGTGTGTTTATCTATGCAGATATATAAATAAAAAAAAATATTTTATTAATTAAAGAAAACTTTTCATCTCGATTTATTAAGCTAATGAAGATGCCTTGAGTAAATGGAAATCATTGGATTCATTTCATTCCTGTAATAATAAACATCATAAAGTAATGTGATTATGGATTATTGTTGATCGTTAAACAAGACGATTAGTGCTTTATCAATTACCATCTTGAGAGTGTGAGTGTGCGTAAAGAATAACAAGAGTCGCACTCACATCCTCGATTTCAATTTTTAGTTTAGCATGTCAACAGCAGTTATTAGAATTCGTTCGTGCCGTTCAGAATATATCGTCATCTGACGGATTGTCTAACATATTTTCTTTTAGCATAGAACTGTATTATCTATATGCTGACCTGTGTAACGGCAAATCGGGATGAGTGCCTCATCTCTCTCCTTACACACGCATTCTATAGATACAGATATAGGTCAAGCGGTTACATATGAGTGTTATTGAAAGACGGTATTTCTATACAGTGACCTTGAATTATGAAAATAATCGACTGATAGGTCAGTATATGTCTGTGCGTAGAACACAAAGGGATTAGATACTTTGTTCCATTGTGATCTGTTCATTTATAAAGACGAAACATTTGCAAAATTTAGTTAATCGAAACATATATATTCATAAAAAACTGCTTCAATGAAACGATCGAAATCATCACGGTTTGCTTCTGTAATGTCGCTCTTGTATGCTTGTGTGCTATTACTTACTATGATTGATCGAACAAACAAGGGATACTCAAGATATCGCCAAAGTGAAACTGTTGTGAAGAAGTTTACTATGGAAACAATTTGTCGGATCGATCAGATTGTCTTGCACCCTGAAAAATACAAACAATCATCAATGATTATTCTCAATAACACTTTTCTTATTTCGTTCGAAGTAAATTTAAATGGAAATAGTACAAGAGTACAAAGCGAACACTGGGCCGTACCTGTACCTTTTGAATCGGATCTTGTGAGTATAAATGATTGAAATATCATTTCATTTTCTTTCTTTTTCTTTTCAGATAAATAGCACCTATCGATGTTTTATTGATCCACTCAATACTCAACAACAACCATTGATAGAAATACCAGATATTGCATCTATTCGTCATGATTTCATTTGGTATACATTAATACCTAATCTCATTGTGATAGTGTTATTGATCATAATACTTGTACTTGTTATCATTATATTACTGAAGACTATTTGTAATGTATCTCCACGACGTTGGTTTAGACGTGCACGACAAATACAGCCTGAAACAACAAAAGCATAACGTGACAAAAGATTAACATTCTGATTATCTCATTCTCTTTTTGTTATCATTAATAATGAAATAAAACTTTGAAATAATATGTATCTCCTTTTTCTTATTTATTTTAATTCAAAGGAAAAAGCAAACACTTTTAATCACATTCCCTTCACGTCAACGGCTAATTCGGTGATTTCACGTATCGGCAATAAAACTATTTTTACATTTAGCAACACACTTTCCTTGAGAACTAGTTAGTTCATTAAATTCGTCTCCTTCTTCATTTCGTCTTGAAAAGAGCTTTCCATTTATTCGATATGCTTCCTAAACAAAATAAGGGTGCGGATGTAAGCGATGCATAATACACCCTCACCCTCACTCTCCCCCACACGCTTCCAGTGATACAATAGTAATATGAACATCATGGATTTCAGAAACAGATTCTTTTTATGGATGTTGCCAGTCAATACTTGTTCACACTTCTGTATGCAAATGCTTTTTGTATCGTCTTCAACGCTAATAAACGAAAAATCGTCGAATTGTCAAAATTACATATCACAATCGATCCAAGCTACAATCTTAAATAATATATCACAATTCGACTGAACTCAATGCACTTAAGTACACAGCTGAAGTATGCCAACAATCAATTCAAAGTGATAAAAAGAAAGAGGGTGGGTGTGGCAATGACTATGTGTATGACTGAATGCAAGATGTATGTGTGCTGTTATGAGTATTCTATTCATATACTACCTTCACTGAAAATCTAACCCACACGCATATCTGAACACATACGCACAACAGCGTCCAAATTCTCAAAGTCGAAATGCGTCTTGGCAGTTCTTCATCCCCTCTATCTACGCCTCCCCCTAGACCCACACATGTCCACATTCACCTTCACCCACACCCACCCATTAGCACTGCAGGTCCCTGCACTCGACAACTCGGTATGGATGATTATCCTTTACCCCAATTCTGGTCCCCTAAAACGTTTTTTAGTTAATACCCCGCGTGGGGTAAATAAATTCTCAGACTCAAAAGTGGTGACCAATTGGGGGATTTTGATTTGGGGTTTTTTTATCTGGGGATTTTTCTAACATAATATATATATATATATATGACATATCTTAATTCATTCTTATTTTATGTACAATGTCGTATCAAAACCAGAACAAAATTTCTCGAATCCTAAAATATTTTGTAACGCATCTGGTTACCAGATTTTAGTCATCAGAACGTATTTTACATTACTAATGATAGATTTCTTATCATTTGTAAATAACAGTTTATACAAAATTATTTTAGTCAAGTTTAGAACTGTAATACGATTATCATCGACTAATTATAAGTTACTAACAATTTAACAATTTAACTGCACTCTTTTTTCCGGGACCAATTTTGCGAGTCACAATTTAGAGTAAATGATAGTCATTTTTTCGATCTCTTCGGAACAATGACGAGCCTTGTAAGTCACTCCAGGATACCTTAAACGGTTATATTCTCAAGAAGATGTATATACCTGGCCTGCCAGACTGTTCAAACTATTATTTACAAGTGATTAGAAATCTATCATTAGCAATGCAAGATACTTTTTGGTGACTAAAATCTGGTAACCAGATGGGTTACAAAATTTTTCATGATTCAAGAAATTTTGTTCTGATTTTGATACGACATTGTATACAAAATAAGAATAAATTAAGGTATGTCATATATATATATACTAAGTTAGAAAAATCCACAGATAAAAAAACCCCAAATCAAAATCCCCAATTGGTCACCAGTTTTGAAATTGAGGATGTATTTTCCATAGGTAGGGTATTATCTAAAAAATGTTTTGAGGGACCAGATTTGAGGTAAAGGATAGCCTACCCTCGGTATGCTTCTGGGTGTGAATTAAAAGAAAATAGATATCCACACCAAAATCCACCTCACATACCTCATACCCACATTCAGCCATCCATAGCCAACTCAAACCCTGCGTATTACATTCAATCTTGACATTCACACATCTCCTATGGGAATTCGAAATGACGAAGGTGCTACGAAAAGCATTTTTTCTCCTTCATCTACACCCACATTCGCACATGTCTATACCCGTCCTCACCCAAACCCATATCTGCTCACATCTACACCCACTTTTACCCATGACCACATCCGTCAACACCCACTATTACCCACACTCTCACATGTTCACACCTACCATCACCAACACTCTCACACGTCCACACCTACCATCACCCACACTCTCACACGTTCACACCCACCATCACCCACACTCTCACACGTCCACACCTACCAGCACCCACATCCAACATTACCCACACTCTCACACGTCCACACCCACCATCACCCACACTCTCACACGTCCACATCTACCATCACTCACATCCAACATTACCCACACTCTCACACGTCCACAACCACCATCACCCACACACCCACCGTCACCCACACCCGCCATCACCCACACACTCACACTCACACCTACACCCACAGCGCCTACACTCACCTTCACTCATACTCACAACCTGAATGGCTTCACACAAGGATGAGGTGAAGCGCAGTGACGAACGCAGCTTATTCTTTAAGTGTTGCGCTGCAGGCTTTTAGCCAGAATAATGAAAAAAATTTCTTTGAAATAGAAAAAAAACAACTTTTCTCTTGCATTATTTTTCTTTCTCTCATTCTCTTCTTACTATGCTCTAGGTTTTTGCGTTGTTGATTGAATCTTGTGCATAAATAACGATGAATAAAGCAAGAAAACGTTTCATTCTGGTGGTTACAATCATTGGTAAGTGAAATTATATCGACATGTCGTCAAACACCTTGTGAGACACAATCTAAAAGAGATTATTGAAGTTTTAACGATGGAAAACTTAATCCTTCCTGCCCTTTTCCATATACACAGACCGTGACAGATAGTATCATAGACATCGGTCGACGGACTTCTACGACAATAGCTGCTGAGTCTTAGAGTCCTCACACACCACGTCCGACGCATATCAGAAGCCATAGCCGATGAACAGCGCTGAGTATAAGTAAACCACATAAGGATCGTTGCAGACCGTGACCAAAAACATTAAGAATTTTAGTGCTGAGGTTCTCCTTTGTTTACATAACAACGCCAAAAGAAACATTGATCCGTCATACATGCGACTCAGATATGTGTGTGTAGAGTAAGATACAAACCATACCGTATTTCATATTTTAATACCACAGCGATAGCGCTAACAGCTTTTGTGAAACATGATCTGAAACAGTGTGTGGAAGTTTTAGCAGTAGAAATTTGAACTCCCTCTCACACAGACTACTACTGATAGACTCTGCAATCGCCGCAGACCGTTAGCGACAGACTTCAAACACAGCACTCTACAAGTATCACAGACGATTACCGATGGATTTCAAGGATCGTAACTGGTAGATATGACCAATATCCTAGTTTTCGATTTTCTCTTTGTTTATTTGGCAAAGTGAAATGAAAATCTAATCTATCATATATAAGACTTAGCTATCTCCCTGTAAAGTGAACTAATAGGCATATCATGTTTCACATTCTAATTCTGTAAGGATTGCGCCAACACTTTTCAATGTAGATGGATAAATACGGGGTAAAGATTGAAAGAAGAGACACATCCTTATTTCACATCTATACACTCCACCGTTACCGCTCACATCTTCATTCTCACTCATCCTCTCATATTTCTGTCGGATAAATTCGAAAAGTCTTGTTCTGAATACTTAACATATTGTATGCATAATTGCGCTTTTCACTATTCTCCAAATAGACTTAATTTTCGTAGTCACTTTTAAAAGGTAGAAAGTATCAATATTACATTTCTAAACTCATGCCACTAATTTTCACCGTTTTAGATTTATTTCAGATTTTAATTGTAGCACAAAATAGAATATTGTTCGACAAACAACGAAAAAAAATGAGCGACACGACTACAGTTTGGATTAAGTGCGGAGAAGAGGACGCAACAAAATTTCGTTTTAATTCGAAAGAAGCTGCAGATGTGGATGATTTCAAACAATTACTCGAAAAAGAAAAAAGTAGTTTTACCAAACCCTCAAAAAAGGCTCTGTATATGATTAAACGATTCCAATTGTG